GGTACCATTGTAATGAGTCTTCAACAGTTCCCACGTTTCTCCATCATTCCCCCAATTCCAGGAGGAAGTGACTGTTGTGGGAGCCCGTTCAAGCAGCTGGGAATTCCCAGGAGACAGGCCATCCACATCCTACACAGAGGGGAGCACGTGTTTTGGTAACCCACACTGGTTACCAAGGAGCTTAGCAGGTGTTTGCTCTAGGTTTCATCCAGCTTAAAACTAAGTGGGACATTTCCAGGAAATCTTGGGTAGGACATTTCCAGGAAATCTTGGATACAGCAGGTTCTGCAGACTGTCAAGATCCTGTCACTTACAACATGACATTGCCCACAGTTAGCCAACCAGATGAGACTCTCATAAACCACCACTGGGAACCAAGGTGTCTAAACACAGGTAGAGGGATGAAGCCCACTGTCAGCTGCCTCTCTGATGCTCTGTGAAGGTCGTAATTATCTGACCTTGGTAAGAGCAGACATCATCTTTAACACTCCTGGCCCCTGGAGTCACAAGACACCAGGCAGCAGCTGCTACCACCTCCACCTGGGACCTCGGCTGCTGAGGCAGAACAGCAGCCATTGATCTGGCACAGTTGAATCAATATGAAAGCCAGCCCCCACACAGGCTACCCGAAGAAGTCCCACACACTCTGTGGAGCAGAGGCTTAGATGTCAGAAAGAGGTAAAAAGAAGAATAAAGTTAACCTTATTTTACAACATTAAAGTCTTTGATTCACCCAGTACAAACCCCTGTCCTAAACCCAATGCAGACCGCTGTACCACGACAGTAGCAATGTTACCTACCTCTCTCCTCACAAAAGGTCAACAAAACAAGGAGTTTAAAACCAGAAACAGAAGCTCATTTTTGACATCAACAGCCTAAACCTCAACACAGGCAGCCCATGAACGGGGAGGTGGTGACGGATGTGTCAGCAGAGAACAGCAACGGCTGGGTGTGCAATGGGAGCACCTGCAGAAGTGAGCCAGAACGTCCAGGCCACGGTCAGTGGGCCCACCGGCTACTGTGAAAGGGCCACGGTCAGTGGATCCACCAGCTACTGTGAAGGGCCACGGTCAGTGGATCTACTGGCTACTGTAAAGGGCCTGGACAGTGGGGATGGAAGACTACAGAAATAGCAGTTGGCTTCCCAAGATGCCTCGATCTCCTCTAAGGAGTTAGAAGGTTAATGAACAAACTTGTCCTCTGGAAGCCAAAGGTTTACAAATATGGACACTGAAGAGGGTAGGGTGGAAAGAGGTTTGACATAAAATGAAGACAGAGACTTTTCCCACTCCCTCGCTCTGTTGGCTCAAAACCATTGGGAGCAGGGTGATGCCACCAAAGTTAGCGACTGCGGGGCCGTTCTCTGCTAGTGTCATCTGAGAAAAGACCTATAGATGCTGCAGCAGAACCCACAGAAGTAGGTCATTCTACATCACTGCCCACCCGGAAGCATCGTGCATCCACATGCAGACACAGGCACAGCTTTCTACAGATGAACAGAAAGATCTGTACATGAAGTAAGCATGGGAAGAAAAGAACAACCCAACGAGCTGGGGGAGGGATCCACATATCCCAGACCCAGGAAGTGCAAGGTCCTCAGCCCAACCCAAGCACCAAGACCCAAGAGAGAGGAAGAGGAAAAGGAGAAAGAAGAAAAAGAGGGAAAGGGGAAAGAGAGGAGGAGGAGGAGGAAAGGGAAAGGAGAAGAAAAAGAGGAAAGAGGAAGTGGGTCGCAGTAAGGGGGTGGGGACGAACCAGCGTAGACAAGGACAAGAGTTGCTACAAAAGGAAACTTCAAAGAAATTACACTGAGTATCCTCACTGAGTTATGGCCTGGCATTCTCATACCATAAAACATAACATTTAAAAGGGGAAAAAACAGAAGGGGTGTGTGTGTGTGTGTGTGTGTGTGTGTGTGTGTGTGTGTGTGTGTGTGTGTGAAATAATATACCCTGAAAAGATTAAGACACGAATTAAAGAAATCTCCCCTAGAAAACAAAAAGTCAAAAACAACAGAAGGAAAAGATAAAAAAAAATACTACAAAACCAAGGCCCGAGTGAACGGACGCTCAGGAAAATGGTAGCAAGGAGAAAGTTTTCAAAGGAAATACTGGAAGAGAATGTAAGTCCCACTTACAGTTCCTTGAGCACTCAACAATGACCTGTAGGAAAGACTTCATTCACTGGTGATTCACCAAGCAACCCTGAACTGCACATGCGTGCAGCAAACCTTCAAATTCGGCACAGCAGAGACTGCCAGACACCCCCGGGGCCCCAGAAACGGCAGTTGACATCTGAGCTGTGTCCCTGGAGACCAGATGAGCATGAAGCAACAGTCACAGTGCTTCCTCACCAAGAATTCTGTGCCTAGGAATGACGTCACGAAAAACAAACAAAACAAAGGCTTTTCATACCAGCAGCGTCCCAGGGAAAGACAGCGCCGGTGGCATCTGTGTTAGGCTTCCTGACGTACTATTTTATTGGGCTGCTGCAAAAATCACTACAGTTTCCGTACTGCTGCAATTTGTGATTCAACATTGGAACACATCCTTAAATAAATACGGCTATGTGATACATAACTCGAAGGTCCATTTCTCTCTTCCTCTCTTTTGCTAATGATTTACTACCGGATGTCTATTTTACAGGTATTACACAGACAAAAAGCAAATTCAGGCGATTTCTCATTTGAGTTCAAAATGGACGGTTAAGGAGCAGGGACAACTCTTGGCATCACAACACGTTTGTCTAGGAACTGCTGAGGAACAGACAGGTAGGTGAAACTTCCATAAGCACTGTACAGGCGGGCAGAGCTTGAAGATGAGAAGCAGGGTGTGGTCACGGCAGTCGACAACGACAAGTCGAGAGGGGCCGCTAAAGCCGGTCCTCTTATCATCACAGAGAGGTCCGTGTGGACCATTTGTGGCCATTTGGCACTGAAGCAAACAGGAAAGGTGGAAAGGCCTGCTGAGTGGGTACCTCATGACCCGACCAGAAAAGGAAAAAGGAAAACCAGCCATTTGGATCCATTGTCCTCTGCTACTCTGTGAAATAACAGCAAGCCGTTTCTCAGCGGGATTGTGATGGGTGATGAAAAGTGGACTGTATACAACTGGAGATGGCCAGCTTACCGTCTGGACTGAAAAGCTCTACAGCATGTTCCCATGGGCAAGCTTACAGCAGGAGAAAGGGGCCATGGTCACTGTTTGGTGGTCTCTGCCCATCTGATCCACTACAGCCAGATACGATTGGACCTTTACACCTGAAAGGTAGCTCCACAAATGGATGAGATTCACGGCAAGCTGCAAGGCTTCCCCGAACTGTCCACGGGAAGGACCCATTTCCCCAGCAGTTCCCTGCCACTTGTCACACAACCAGTGCTTCAGAAGCTAAACAAACTGGGTTACGAGGTTTTGCCTCATCCATCACATCACCTTGACTCTCCCCAACCAGGCATCACTTCAAGGATCTTGACAACTTTTTACAGGGAAACATTTAGAGAGCAGCCAGATAAGCAAAGTTTTCTGAGAACTGGTTGATCCCGAGGCACAGATTTTTACACTACAGGAGGAGGCAAACATTTCTTATTGACAAAAATGAGTCAATTAAGTAGTTTTTATTTTGATTAGTAAAGACGTACTTGAGCCTAGTCACAGTGATTTTAAATTCACGTCCTAACCTGAAACTCCTTTTGGGCTAACCCAACCCTTGCAGCTTTGTTCTGAGCTGCAGTTCCCAAGCATTTCGGCTAACCCCTCAGCGTGGTCATCAAGCCACACGGAGTATAAGCGCTGGCCGTCAGGAACTGTGTGCACCCTTCGTTTCTCTGCATTTCCCCAATAAAGTACAAACTCTTGATGCTGTAACAGAGTCTCCGAGCCTTTATCTTCACGGGATAACTTATGTAAGAAGAGCTTTGCAAACAGTCACAACCCTTGCGCAAAGAGCAGCCCACTAGAGCTGGCGGGGAGCTCTGTGGGGGCGCACCTGGAGATGAGGGGCATGGCTCCTGGTACTAAACTTGAAAAGCTGGGAATGGTAGCACACACCTGCAATCCCACCACCTGGGAGGTGCACTAGACCGGGAGTCCAGGATGTAACGAGTCTAAGGATCAAAAAAACTGAGGCTTAAGGCGCTAAGAAACTTTTCACAGATGCCATGGACAACACCAGGCAGACGAGTGTCATGGGCACAGGACTCGGCTCATCACTACTGAGATGCCTGTGTGCAGGTGGTTCGAGGGCCTATGTTCTGACTTCTCCCTCTCTTCTATGACTCTACAGCCACCAAACATAGTATTACTCCTTTCTCCACCCTAATGACAACCCGGCTACTTAAGAGCATCAGCATCGGCAACACCCAGGCACTGTAGCTCCTAAAAGGAATTGCATCCCAAAATAGACACGTGTGTATGGAGTTTAAAGCTGTGGTAAAAGCCAAACCCCAACCTACTCAGTAGGAAGAAGTTTCTCAGATTGTCTTAACCTAAGAAATAAGCTAAGTGGACGACTAGACGAAACTGGCTTTGTTTTCCCATATACTACCCAGCAGGAAGGCACCAAGACAGATTTTAAATACTCACAGTAATCCCTCTGCTGATAATCTTTTTTGAATATGAACTCTGTTTTCTAATCAGCTATCCATGGGGAATAATGATTCAAGAATAATTACCTCTTCAATCTGGCCCAAAAATGCTTTAATGAAGAGACGTGCTTGAAAAGTCAGAACACGGTAAACACACACTCTCTACTTCTCTCCCAGAGCAAAGAAAGGGACAGGATGGATGACTGAGAGACACCCTTGACCTCGGTTACACACCACACAATTCTTCAGCACCCTCCCGTCCGTGATGCTGACTGCTCTGAGCATCCCCCTCTGCTAGGCCTATGACCCGGAACAGGTACCGCATGAAGTTACTGCCTTTACAGGATGCAAACTCACTCTGGGTTATCATGCTACAGGTCACAAAGGGACACAGTGTGGGGACAATCCAGCCACTTACTCCACAGTATCGGTCGCCGTTAAATATCTGAGGCGGCAGAGGGTTGCCCTGTGAAGGCTTCTTCTCAGGGGGGATGTTTTTGTACATCCACTGCCTCTGTTCTTCTGACATGGTGATGTCCACCTCCTCGAACTCTATCTTGTTGGCTTCCAAAAATCTAACCACATCCTGCTGCTTCTTCTTGATCTAGAGGGGAGATAAGCAAGAGAAATGTTTACCCGACGGCAGTAAGTATGCATTTGCAGATTCAACTATTCAGATTGCCCATAGTCAGAAGGGATGTACACAGCTCCCTCACTGTATATCTAGGCCAGGACTGAGCCAGCTCCAGTGCAGTGATTCCTGCACTCAGACACCCCAGAAGGCTGACACTCAACTCTGACTGCCCACAAGGATAGAGGATGAGGTGGCAGGTGAGACCAGACACCCACTTAGTTCCCAGCAGGCCACAGCCACTCCTCATCTCCCTCTGCTAAAAGCTGACATTTATAACCAGTAAAGCTCCCTCTGCTCAGGTCATTTGTAAGCCATGTCTGCCTCATCTGAGATGAACACTTTGGTGACCGAGGAGAGCAGCATTTTTATTCCTCTCAGATATTCCACAGCTATAATCATGACCCAGAAAGAATCTTTCATCAGTTTGGTTTGCAAGAGGAAACGCTGCTCCTCACTTCTAGGTGAGACTAAACCACAAGCATCTTTCAGTCTTAACCCTTTCTATTCCTCCGACCCTCACGGTTCCCTCTCCAGTCACTAGGGGTCAGGGGTGCTCCTCAGCAGTTTCAGTAGCAGCAGGATGTCTTCAAATGTGAGCAACCTTCTCAATGTAATGGTATGCATCCACTAATTCACATGGAACACCAGTATTCAATGTCTTAAACACAGCGTGTTAAACATAAAATATGATTGCCTTTTCTAAGTGACTGGAGAAGATACCTCTTTTAAAATGTAAGGAATGAACAGCCTAAAGCTTGAAGAACAAACCCTCACACAGATTTCCTCCACCTCCATCCCCCAAATGCCCCTTAGAAATCACCAGTAGTATGTGACTCTGAGGTTGGAAATCTGGACCATGCTGTAAGCCAACAGCTCCGTCCCTGGGTCCATACATGTGAACAGGATGGTGAGGTTGTACAGACACAGAAAAAATACTGGCAAAACAGCCCATCGCTAAGCTCAGGCGCGTGGATTTGAGAATTACTGTGTGGTGCTAGAAATCCAAAAGATAATGGCTTCTCAGTTTCTTCAATGAAGCCATCTTTCATTTCTGAAAAGGGTGACTTTCTTCCCTCACACTGGATACATCATTTCAGAAATGGGCTTATATTGGTCTGAAACTTCAACTCAAAGGAGGATAAATTACTCATGCTGCTTGAAAACTAAGATGATTTTATTGCTTGCGTCTTCCAATTAAGAGTAGTTTCCCCAGTGTTTGATCAAGGTCTGATGTGCATGCTACTAAAACACTCAGTGCCATCCTCCTGCCTTATAGCCTTCTTTTGTATTTGTAACCCTCCCTCTGCCCTGAGGGACCATGCACATTTCTGGGCAGGTACACTCATGTATACCTGATTATATATATTCTTGACTATAAAAAGGCCCATGTTTTGAGATCATAAAGCAATGGTCTATAGTCCTACTAACTCAGGAGACATATGCCAAAATCCAGAGGAGGGGAATAGAGCCCAGCATGTTAAAACTGACCAAACCCTTAAAAGGGGTCTCATAACTGATTGTGGGTGGCAAAAACCAGTATAAGGTTTTGAACATACAAGGGGCCAGATATTAATTCAAAACCCAACACATAATAAACCCTAGATGTTTCTGGCAGCACTGATCCATGAGGTCAACGACTTCACTGCAGCCTGGGTTCTGAACACACAATGATCTCAGTATGTTCTGTGAAGGCCATCACAGCATTCAACACCAACAGATGCTGCCTGAAGCACCTTGGCTGGACCCTACTCTCCAAGAATATAAACACCACAGCATTTTATATTCTGTACACATAAGATACTTAGGTATATTATGTTGTTGGCTATTTGGTCTATTTGCATCTTTTGTTACTGGAACAGCACCATGCAATGAACAACGAACTCTTGTCTCAGTCTGTCTGTTATGGTTGCTATAACGAAACGCCACAGACCGGATGACTTAGGAAAAGGGGGAAGTTCGTTTCTCATTAATCTGGAAGCTGAGAAGCCCAGGATCAAAGTATTACGGAATAGGTATCTGGTCAGTGCCCATTTCCTGGGTCACAGACAGAACCCTTTTCTATGATGCCACTTGGTAGAAGGAACAAGACAGCTCCCTCATCCTTGAGGGCACTAAACTCATTCCTGGCCTCCCAACAGCTTTCTCCTAATTCCGTCACATTAGGCAGGCATTTGAGGGAGACACAAATAGTTGGACTACAACAGTATCTTTAAAAATGCTCCCAGTGCATCTCCCGATACTGCTTCAGGTAAAGGCCCTATGAGTGAAACTCTGATCCTCCTCCAGCCTCAGCCTCTTCAGCATACACTGGCATGTGTGATCACAACAGGCACTATGAATGAAACTCAACTTTCAAACTGCACAGATAGTTTTCAGGCTCATAATGGACCCATGCTAATCTGCTTTCAACAAGGCCACAGCAGTTTACAGGACCATGAGTAGTGTCTCAGAGTGTCTAGGTCTCAACACCCTCCCTCTTTAGAGCCAAGACCTCAAAGCTGTGTAAAATGACTCAGAACACTAAAACTCAAAGACATCAGAAATGAAGGCAGATTTCTCCCAGGCAACAGTGATGACTGGCACAGTACTGCATAGAGTAAACAGTAAGAGAGAATGTCTTAGTTAGGGCTACTATTGCTGTGATGAAACGCCGTGACCAAAAGCAACTTGGGGCAGAAAAGGTTCATTTCACTCACAGTTCCATATAACAGTTTATCATCAAAAGCAGTGAGGGCAAGAACTCAAGTGGGCAGGAACCTGGAGGCAGGAACTGATACAGAGGCCATGGAGGGGTGCTGTTTACTGGCTTGTTCAACCCTGATTTCCTACAGAAACCAGGGGTGGTCCCACCCACAATGGGCTGGGTCCTCCCACATCAATTACTAATTAAGAAAATGCCCGACAGGCTTGCCTAAAGCCTGATCTTATGGAGGCATTTCTCACCTGAGGCTCCCTCTTCTAGGGTGACTCTGGTATGTGTCAAGCTGACATAAAACTAACCAGCACAGAGACCATCTGTATTTTAAAAAGAGGCGCAGCCAAGTCTGTGCCTCAAAGAGATTTCATACCCTGCAGCTTAAGAACAAAACAGGAATAGAAGCAGAAGCAACCCTGTTATGAACCATTAACACCATTCTGGAAAGATCCATTAGATTGATCAATAGGTTTCAGATAGTGTAGACCAGGCTCCTCCTCCTCCTCCTCCTCCTCCTCCTCCTCCTCTTTTTTAACAAAAGCAATGAAGAAAATATTTGTTATATTGAAAAGAAAAACTCTTGAAGGTCATGTAAGAAACTAACAGAAAGTGCAGGGAGATTAAGGACCAAGTGGGGAGACAAGTGGGAGATGAGAGGGACTGGAGATTAAAACCAAGTGGGAGCCTGTGTGACTATTCAAAAAGTTAAGAGACAGTCAGGGGACAGACTAGAGTCACACAGAGAACTGCCTGTGGGGGCGGTAAAGTTTCCCCAGCTAACAGGAAGACAACTCTAAGCATTTTGTCATTGACCTCCAGGTTACTTTTACTAACATGAAAGAATAACAGGGTTGAGGGAGACCACAGAAGATCAGCCAACACTCCAGTGAGTTAACCAAATGGACAGGGTAGGGGAAATGTAACCACGGGACCACGTATCCCAGAGGACGTCTGTGACGCTGGACGCAGGAAGGAAGATGAGTAACACCACACCGTTGTTTACAAGCTGCAGAGTGTGGTCTGGAACTGTGGGGCCCAGGCTTGCACGGGAGGCAGGGCCATGGAGAACACCCAGCCTGAGGGGTGGGCCCCAGGTGACAGCAGGATGTGCTGGACAGGACACCAGGATCCAAACATAAACAGTATTCTGAGATCATTTCCTCCACATGAAACGTTCTGTTCTCTCCAAGTTTCGAATTTTCTGGGATGAAACACACCTTACATGCAGTATCTTTTTCTTTCCATTACTGGGCAAATGTTAGAGGGGTAAACTGTAGGACCAGAGTTGGTGACTCCATCTGTGTCAATTCATCCACGGGTGGAAGGTACATGCAGCTCACACTTGCTTTTACTCAAATACACTCAGAAGCCATTGCAGACAATAGCTATTTACCCATAACCAGTCCCACTGAGATTGCCCTTGCTCAGCTCAGGAAACAAGTTTTCCCCAGAATCTCTGGAGCAGGAAGGGATCCCCAACACAGTTCTGGAGAGACAAAGGCAGCAAGTCTCACAAATTGACACAAATGCCAGCTAGGTGTGGCTGTGTCTACCAGCCCAGCACGCAGGGGGCTGAGAAAGGAGGGTCGAGCGTTCTTCCTTGCAGAACTGCTAACATGGTGAGCAGGAGATACAGCAAACAAACACCATCTGCTAGGGATGATGAAGGAGAAAGCCTCACGCCTTCCAGCTGCCACCCCAAGCTTAAACTTTCCTTATTCGACAAATCAGCCCCTAATAACGTAAGTCTGGGTGACAGAGAGAAGACGATTGTAGCAAATTTGAGGCTAGTCTGGTCTATACAGAGAAGTCTAGGATGGCCAGGACTACATAATGAGACTCTGTCTCAAAAAAAAAAAAATCAAAATATTAAATAGATTTCCATTTCTGGTTCACTTCCCCAGTGAACCCTCCTCACCCACTGGAGTTTTTAACCATTCTAGTACTTCCTACTCCTTTTCAAGTCCTTCATTTGTTTCTCCACAGCTGGCACTTGTTTTACATCTGCACATTTGTCCCCCCACATGGACTATAAACACCCGAAAGACAGGCGGGTTTGCCGGTTCCGTCCACAGTGCGTCCGTCACATGATGCCTTGCACACAGTGGACGCACGATGCAGATCTGTTGATGACCACACAAGGTTTTCCCAGGCAGCTGGAAGCAAACACTCCCAGGAGCAGCACGAGCTCCTCGGGCATCCGCCCTCTCCGGCCGCACTCCGGGTGTTTCATAGCCTGCACGCACTAGCCTGTTCTGCGCTGTTTCCTCACGGC